CATTTCTGATGAAGGGTCTCGGCCTGAAATGTCAGCCTTTCTGCTCCGATGATGCTGCTTGGCCTGCTGTGTTCATCCAGCTCTGCACCTTGTTGTCCGGGAAATCAGAACAAGCTGGCTAAATGTAATGAGAAATATTTGCTCAGCTGGAAGGGGGAATGCAGCATGGACTGGTTGGGCTGACTGGCCTGTGTAAATGTCATTTTATGTCCATTCAAAAAAGATAGAGATTTCCAGGGTCAATCCAACAGCCTTGCTGGGACAATGCAACTTCCCCTGGAACTAAATGTTGACTAATTTTCAACAGGAAAGGTTTAAGTTCAATTGGATCAAGGGTAAAGCCCAAACTTTCAATTTAAAGAGCGTCAGGCATCCATTTCTGAGATGGATTTTTCATCCTGCTCAGTGTAGTTAAGAAGCTTGTTTGCTCTTGTGGTTCCAGATAAGAGCTACTTGCAAGGTCAATGGATAAGTCTTATATACTTCACCACATCTTAATGCAGCTGCTCCACCAGTTCATTTACCGTGGCCTATCTAACACTAATGTTGTTTTATCAGAATCACATCTTGGTGGCAGCCTGAGGCTGGGTCAGAGGTTCTCCAATGCAGTAGATGTGTTAACATGTCCCCACATAGCATTCCTCCTACAGGAGGAATTAAGTCAAAAGATCCAGACTTTATAGCAAGTGAAGGATCCTGTACTATGTCCAATGACTCTCGGGCCTCCTTAGAACATCCTGAGCTGCTTTACAACCAATGAGCTACTTGTGAAATACTATTTGGATAAATCTAGTGGATCTCAAAGATCAAACGATAAGTAGTGTGAATACAAGGAAGCCGTACTTGCAGTGAGGAAAGTCTGATAGCTCAGTTAGCTGGATGGATGGTTTGTGATGCAAAGTAATGCCAGCAGAGTGGGCTCAATTCCTGCACCAGCTGGGGCTGCTGAGGTCTCCTTTAGAAGCTTTCCCCTTGTCTGAAGCGTGGTGACCCTCAGATTAAACCACCACCTGTCGTTTCTAATGAGAGCAGCGTCTATGGGTTTATGGGGACTTTTACATTCACTTGTAGTGAGCCACATTTATACCTCCTTGTAACATAGCTGACAGCCACATTACTGGAGCAACTGGGAGACAGGAATAAATTTAAAATCTGTTTCAGCTACAGAGCATAGAAGTAAGTAATTGGATTACTGATCAGACATTTCACCAAGTATAATTTTCTCCAGGCCATTGTGGTGGTGTGCTGTATTTAGAATCTAATTACGTTGGGTAATCAAATTCACCACAATGCATTAGACAGCTGTAATGGGGACAGACAAATGGACTTCCTACCTTTTTAATTGGAAGTGGCGGTGGTTTCGAGTGGGGGCGGCTCTTTGTAACTTGTCCCAGGCTGCTGAACTGCTCATCCTGGCAGGATTTGATTGTGGAATAATGGACCATCGTCAAGTGCGGAGTCAGGTTGCTGGACACACAATTACAGATATACTGGAGAAAGAAAAACACAAGGCATACTTGGTGCTTGTTAAACTACACCACGGTTAAACACTTCGATGAAATTTGGCCTTGCAATTATGGAACATAGCAAGGTCACAAATCAAACAAATGTACCTCTTAAGAGTTGATATTGTAGCTCATCATAACAACAACTATTTCTCAGAACAGCTTAGACTGATAGCACATTGATGGATATATCACAGATTCCCTACAGTGTGGAAGGTGGGCATTCGGCCTGTTGAGTCTGCACCCTCCAAAGAGCATTCCACCCAGATTCCTCCCCACCCCCATCCCTGTAACCCTGAATTTCCCATGGCTAACCCACACATCCCTGATCACTATGGGACATTTTAGCATGGCCAATCCACCTAACCTGCACATCTTTGACTGTGGGAGGAAACCGGAGCACCTGGGGGAAACCCACGCAGACACAGAGAGAATGTACAAACTCCACACAGACAGTCACCCAAGGCTGGAATTGAACCTGGGTGCCTAGTGCTGTGAGATGGCAGTGCTAACCCCTGACCCACCATGCCACACTCTCTTACAGAAGGTCTCTCCTCTGTGTGCCATATAATTTCTGATACCAGCAGCAACTGACATTCACAACACACCAAGTGCCAGACAATAATCATCTCCAATGAGGGAGAAACTAAGCTTCTCCCCTTGACATCTGCTGGGATTGGAATAGTGAGATGCTTGTTTCTGACTAGGGCAGACTCGATGGGCCTTTTTTCTGTCCTGCAGACCTTGATGACTCTATAATGTTCAACGGACTTACCATCACTGAAACCCCCATTATCAACATCCCAGGGTTTCAGCTTTGACCAGAAACTTAACTGAGCTGGTCATATAAAGAGAAATGGCTACAACAGCAGGTCAGAGCTGGTGGCTCTGTGGGATGTAACTCACCTCCTGACTCTCCACAGCCTCTCCATCATCTACAAGGCACAAGTTGGGAGTGTGGAGGAATACTCCCCACTAGCCTGGATGGGTGCAGCTCCAACAACACATGAGAAAATCGACAATATCCAGGACAAAGCTGCCCTGAAACATGTTGCTGGGTCAAACCTTCTCCTTGCTCTGGGTGCAATTATATTTCATGGACTACAGTGGCCCAAGAAAACAGTTCACTGCCACCTTCTTGCAGGACAGCTCTGGTTGAGCAATAAATACTGACCTCACCAACAATGCCACATAACATGAGTAAATTTTTAAAAATTGAGTAATTTTTATTTATGTATTCAAATAGTTAGAAATTAAATATTTTAATTAATATGTCTTGGGAGAAATCCTTGCTTGGCAGGTTAAGCAGTCAGAGAAGATTATATATGCATTTCTTTAAGATATTTCAAATTGATCGGTAATACCGAATTTAAAAATTGTTTAAGGAAGACAAGAAGTCAAGGCTTTCTGTCTTGCACTTACCAAGCCTAGGATGCAGGAAACAAACATGAAAAAAGGGAACACCAGTTTGCACAGATGCTGAAAGACTAGACCATTGTTGCCGTGGAGATACAGCAGGAACAGTTAACTGTCAATCTTCATTCCCAAATCATGCAGCCCTCTGCTAGTCAGAATCTACCTGCCTGATGTATTTCCATGCCAACGATGGTCCAATCAATAAGCACCCTCTTCTCGTGCTCTAAAAGTTCGTGTCCCCGTGTCAAGCCAGTAAGTTGTATCCTAGTCCTGAGGAGAGAAAGTCGAAAGGCTTCTTGTCTCCTTTTAGCAATTTCGATATTAGCCAAAGTAATGAGAAATCTCCTCAAAGGACAGCTCTCCAATCCATCCACTGCTCTTCCAACACAAAACATTTGCAATTTTTATCTCCTGTCTGCTACGAGGCAGATTGTTCGTGTGATGTGGACCACAGAGACCCCCACAATCGTCACTGACACTATTTCCTGATTACTCTGGAGTGCCTCAAACCCACCGTCTAGATGAAACAGCACAATACAACATTACAAAGTAATGGTTCAGATTAGAATGGAGGAAAGCTGATTGAGGCAAGTCTTGTACCCTTTCTTCTGAGCTGGATCCATCTGTTCGAACAACTTGACTGCACCATTCATGAATAAATGTATACCAACTGCCAATATATGTTGTGTATTCCTTATCTTACTTTGAGTTTTGAGACATGAAATATTGTTTCTTTTTACAGGCTATACAAAACAGCTGTAACATTTAACAGCATAGGAAGTGAGAAATAGTCGTGGTAGTTGGCCATTTGGTCTTGTTCCACCATTTGATAAGATCACGGCTGATCTGATTGTAATCTGAACTTCGTTTTGCAGCCTGCAGCAGCATCCCACTGTAGCCCTCAACTCCCTTGTCAATCACTCTTCATTATTCTGCAGCACTCTCTCTTTATATGACCAGTTCGCACAAGTGAGCTCTGAATACAACCAATGATGCCATGTCCAGGAAGGAGAAATTCAGAAGACCCTCTAAAGGATATTCCTCCTCAGCAGGATCTTAAACGTAAGACACTGCATTCTGAAACTGCGTCTCCTTCCTCCGCGTTCACCCACGTGAGGAAATATGCTCTAAGCCTCCATTCTTCTTTTGTGCAACTTTGGGAGTCCACCCACCATGAGATGTCAAGGCTGAAGCTGTGTAAAGCCACGTGCTTTCTCCAACAGACCTGGGCTTGTAGATTCACTGAGGTTGGAACAAAGAGTCAGAGCCCTTTGAAGCAAACACTGGCATTCATCATTGAATCCCTACAATGTGGAAGCCTATCGAGTCCACACCGACCCTCTGAAGAGCATCCCACCCAGACCCACACCCCCCCAGCCCATCCCACTAACCTTGCGTTTCCCACGGCCAGTCCACCTACCCTGCACATCTTCAGACTGTGGGAAGAAACTGGAGCACCCGGAGGAAACTCCCGTAGACACAGGGAGCATGTGCAAACTCCACATCCCTGGTGCCATGAGACAGCAGTGCTAACCACTGAGCTAAAATTTGATCTGTCATCTAAACAAAATACCTGTAAAAAAGATGACACACAGGAAGACAAAAGAAGTGAAGCAGTTCACCTTGAAGCGGCTGAGGGGGTAGTTTCCGTAGATGTAATCTTCCGTCCCGTTCACCTGGAGCGTGTAATCGTCTGCATCATCAACCACTTTATGCCGGAAAACTGTCGCTTTCTTCTTCACAGCTAATTTCATTAGGAGTGCAGGAGGCGCCTGGGAGGAAATCTGGAAGCTGAAACTTTCCTAATGTCGGAGGGAAAGAAAAGGCATCAATTAGCTGAAGACAACCAAACCATTCAAAAGCTCTTTCCACACAGAATGGTGAGACTGTAGGATTGGTTCAGAGAAGACCTGGTTTAAGTGAATATCCTAGATTCATTGAAGGAAAAGCTGGATTACCAAGTGTAGCAGAAGGGAAGAGGGTTATCTCAGTATAATTCGATGAGGAAGGACAGGACAAGGCTCAAATTGAGCATTAACCTTGTACAGACTAGTTGGTTTCTAATCTCTGCATTTGCTTTTATTCATTCATAGAAAAAGGGTATTTTTGGCAGAACAAAGACTTAATTCCCAAACATAACTTCCTCAAGTTGATGATGAACACATGTGGCGTAGGTGCACACACAATGCTGTTTGGGAGGGAATTCCAGGATTTTGACCCAGCGACACTGAAGGAATGGCGATATATTTCCAAGCCAGGATGGTAAACGGCTTGGAAGGGAATTTGCAGATGATGGTGTTCTCATGTGATGGTGGTGATCAGGGGTTTGGAAGGTGCTTTCTAAGGAGTCTTGGTGAATGTCTGTAGTGTGTCTTGTAGATGGTACACACTGCTGTGACTGAGTGTTGGTGGTGGAGGGAGTGGACGTTTGGCATGCTGGCCCGTGTGCCAATCAAGCGGGGCCAGTTTAAAATAAAACAAAAGAGCTGGAGAAACTCAGCAACTCTGGGAGCGTTTGTACAGAGTGAAAACCTGAGCTAATGTTTCGAGTCCAACATGACTCTTCTTCAGAATTTGGTTTCTTGAGTTGTTTGAGCTGCACCCATCCAGGCAGATGGAGAGTTTTCCATTACACTCCTGATGTCTCTCTGGGCAGGCTTTGTTTCCATTTGATTTGATTTATCAGTCATAGAGTTATACAGCACGGAAACAGACCCTTTGGTCCAACTAGCCCACGCCAACCATAATCCCAAACTAAACTAGTCCCACCTGCCTGCATTTGGCCCATACCCCTCCAAACCTTTCCTATTCATGTACTTATCCAAATGTCTTTTAAATGTTGTAACTGTACCTGCTTCCACTACTTCCTCTGGCAGTTCATTCCGCACACAAATCACTTTCCTTTTTAAAACTTTCTCCTCTCACATTAAAAATATGCCCCCTGGTTTTGACCTCCCCTGCCCTAGAGAAAAGACCTGTGCTATTCACCTTATCCATGCCCTTTATGATTTTATAAGCCTCTAGAAGGTCACCCCTCAACCTCCTATGCTCCAGTGAAAGAAGTCCCAGCCCTATTTAGACCACTTTTATAACTCAAACCCTCCGTTCCTGGCAACATCCTGGTAAGTCTTTTCTGAACTCTCTATAATTTAATAATATCCTTCCTTTGGCTGGGTGACCAAAACTGTACACAGTACTCTGGAAGAGGCCTTATCAACGTCCTGTACAACCTCAACATGACGTCCCTAATCCTATACTCTTACATCTGTACAATGAAGGCTATCGTGCTAAACACCTTCTTAACTTCCTGTCTATCTGCAGTGCAAATTTCAAAGAATTATGTACCTGAACTTCTAGGGTCTCTCCTTTCTAACATTACCCAGGGCCCTACCATTAATTGGATAAGTCCTGCTCTTGTTTGTTTTAGCAAAATGCAACTCCTTGTATTTATCCAAATTAAACTCCATCTGCCACTCCTCACCCCATTGACCCAATTGACCAAGATCTTTTCATAATCTTAGATAACCTTCTTCACTGTCCACCATACCATCAACTTTGGTATCTTCCGCAAACCTACTAACCATGCCTCCTATATTCTCATCCAAATCGTTTATATAAATTGTTGACAAACAACAGTGGACCCAGCACCGATCCCTGTGGCACACCGCTGGTCACAGGCCTCCAGTCTGAAAAACAACCCTCCACCACCACCCTCTGCCTCCTACTGTCAAGCTAATTTTGTATCCAATTAGCAAGTTCACCCTGAATCCCATGCGATCTAATTTCACTAATTAGTCTACTGTGTCAAAAGCTTTACTAAAGTCAATAATAACAAAGTCTACCATTCTGCCCTCACCAATCTTTTTGGCTAGTTCCTCAAAAAACTTAATCAAGTTAGTGAGACACAATTTCCCACACACAAAGCCATGCTGACTATCCCTAATCAGCCTTGCTTTTTGAAATGCATGTAAATCCTATTGTTCAGAATCTCTTCCAACAACTTACGCACCAACGATGTCAGGGTCTCAGGATTATAGTTCCTGGGCTTCTCTTTACAGCCTTTCTTAAATAAAGGCATAACATTAGCCACCCTGGTTTACTGTCACACATACCGAGGTGCGGTGAAAAGTTTTGTTTTGCTAACTAGACAAATAATACCTTACGTAAGTACATCAGGGTAATAGAACAGAATGCAGCTAGACAAGAACGTGTTTGTATTTTTGAGTGAATTTGCTCCCTGGCTTCTCCTGACACAGCCTGCAAGGTACAAGCGCCTTGTGGTATCTGTCTCCCCACGTGCCCACTCCACACGTGCTCAGGTCAAGGTTTCAGCTGGAGAGCTGTGACCAGGCTGAGGATTGGATAAGGCTACAACATGACAACCTCACTGCTGCCATCTTTCAATCCTCCATCTTTCTGCAGCCAAATCACTTCATTTAGTCTCCATTTTAGTCTCATTTAGTCTTCATTCATGGGATATGGGCACCACTGACTGAACCAGCATTTATTGCCAAGCCATAAATGCCCACAATGCAGTCAAGAGTGGGTCTGGAGTTACACGTAGGTGAGACCGGGTAAGGACGGCAGTTTCCTTCCCTAAAGACATTGGTGAACCAGATGGTTTTTTCCTGACAGTCAACAATGGTTTCATGGCTGTCATTAGACTCTTACTTCCAAACTATTATTGAATTCATACTCCACTGGCTGCCATGGTGGGATTTGAGCCCAAGTCCCTAGAACATTACCTGGGTTTTTAGAGCAATAATACCACTAGGCTATCACTTACGTCCTATTTCTGCTGCAGTCAAATGCATCTTCCACTCCCCTCCCCCTCATTTGTTGGACTATTCCTCTGTGACACCTTGGTCCACTCCTTTGTCACTTCTAGCACCTTTCACTCCTCATAGTGGCTTCCCATGCCATTGCAGAAGGTGTAATACTTGCCGTTTTGCTTCCTCATTGTCCCAGGCACCTAACCAGGTGAAGCAGTGATTTATATCTTACAGTCTAGGTACATTACACATACACTTTAAACAACCAGCAGTCACTCCTTTAGAACTGAAGTTGCTTTTCTCCCCCCAATTGTAAATGGTTTGGATTTGACCTATTCGCAGTTGTTTCAATGTAGATGAGAAGAACAATCAGAAAGCATGGTGTACTCACTTCAGTGTATTGAAATTTCACATTTATAACAATGTTTCGGTTGCTGTGCTTCCTGGTAATGCTGTTATCTGCTACTTCTGGGATAGGCTCCAGGTCTCTGGGAAAACTGTATTCCATCCATTGCTGCCATGAGAGTCGTTGCCTCTCTTCTGCTCTCTCCTCACAAAACTGGCGCATGTTCCCACGAAACTCATTCACCTCAGAATCGTGCAGACTGTCAAACTCATGGAGACCTGTAACAAAACAATGACTGTATCTCTCAAAATATTTTCTTGTAATACTTTAGAAACCAAAAAGCAGTGCCAATCATTTTTTTAAAATTAGAAATAGAATGCGGTTTATTGTCACGTGTACTCAAATTACAAAAGAACAGCAGTACAGTGAAAAGTGTACAATGTCGCCAACACAACGTTGCTATCTTAGGTATAAAAAAACAGAAAATAAAGAAAAACGTTACACTACATTACAGATATACATAGTATAAGTTAGGAAAATAAGAAATAAAGCTAAAAAGATGGACATTACAGTCTTTCTCTAACGGCATCCACGTGGTCTGACTCCGTTCCCAAACAGCAGTGATCTCAAAGAATAAGATAGATGTATATTATGTTCATATACAGAATACACACATCCCTCTGCTTACACTCCCTGTCCTTTGAATTCTATTCTCATTTTGAAAATAATATAAAATGAAGAAATAAAATGCAAGGAGTCCCGAGGAACAGTGATCCTTCCCACCAGTTATTCTTGTCTGCCATCTCCATTAATACACAATTTCCCCTCAGGGTAGGAGAACACCCTTATGTTTATCATAAAATCCCTACAATGTGGAAGCAGGCCATTCAGCCCATCAAGTCCACCCCAACCCTCCAAAGAGCATCCCAGCCAGATTTACCCCTATACTGTCCCTGTTACACTACACTTCCCATGGCTAATACACCCAACCTACACATCCCTGGACACTATGGGTAATTTAGCATGGCCAATCCACTCAACCTGCTCATCTTTGGACTGTGGGAGGAAACTGGAGCATCCAGAGGAAACTCACGCAGACATGGGGAGAACGTGCAAACTCCACACAGTCAGTTGCCAGAGGGTAAAATCAAACTCAGGTCCCTGGTGCTGTGAAGCCACCATGCCACACTGATGAAAGATGAAAAGGGGATGAAAGATTATCAGGAGTTATGTAAGAATGTAGAGTTTTGGTTAAAAATAAGATCAACTGCGATCTTATTGAATGGGGAGTAGGCCCAAAGGGCTGAGTGGCCTACTCTTGTTCCTTGTTCGTATGTTCTCTAGACACAATGAATCCATGTGTGACATGGAGCTACCTTTAACCTTACAATCTCCTGGGTGAGGCAAAAAAAACACTCACATTGTCAACCTGTGAGTTTATCCAATTTTAAGTTATGGAAAAATCCTTTTCCTAAAAGAAAACCTACTATCTAGTTAACTTGGGGAACAGTTATGAGTAACTTTTTACAAAATTCATCAAGAACCTTTCAAGATCTATCAAGTGGCAGCCTCACGTTAATTTCTTCAAACCAGCCAATGAACACTCTGTGGAAACACCCACTGGTAATTACTTGCCCCAGAGATGCCGTAATAGAACAGCACACAGCACAAGTCTGATAGCGGGACTTGAACATTCTGGCTTAGAGGGAAGGAGTACTAGCAAAGAAGCAACAGCTAATACTGTTGTAATAATAACAGGAGAAATGCACCCAATAAAGCAGCATAACCACATCCAAGCCACAGTTTGTCAGTCAGCAAATCTAACAAGTACAACATGCCAGTGCTTTCAAGACCAAATGAGCTAAAAATGCAAGCCCTTTGGATGTATTGCTATTTCTGAGAGTGAAAACAGACACTTCTAAAATTCAAGTTCTAAATATACAATTATTTCTTAATGATCACAATTGAAAAATAAACAAATATTGTATTTGGAATTCTACTCTAACTATTCAGAGCTAGCCTCAGGGACTCCTCAACACTTCTCTGAACAATTTTACTCTGTATTGAGGCATAGGAGCCAGGTTAAGCAAGTAATGGTTGCACAGTGCCCTCCCTCACTGTACCGGTGGCTCAGTGGCTAGCAATGCTACCTCATAACACCAGGGACCCAGGTTCAATTCCACCCTCAGGTGTCTGTCTGTGTGCAGTTTGTGTGTTCTCCCTGTGTCTGCATGAGTTTCCTCCAGGTGCTCTAGTTTCCTCCCACAGTCCAAAGATGTGCAGGCTAGGTGGATTGGCTGTGCTATAGTGCCCAGAGATGTGCAGGCTAGGTGGGTTAGCCATGGGAATTACAGGGGGAGGGGAGTGGGTCTGGGTGGGATGCTCTTCAGAGTGCAAACAGGCCAAATAGCCTGCTTCCCCACTGTAGGGTTTCTAAGATCCAAAATATATTTTTGACTCTATAAGTCAATAATTTAATGCGTTTAGAACTTCAACTGGATTTTGTTTTTGGAATATGTCCCACAAGAGTCAAATTGCAACCATATCCCTTGCAGTGTGTGTTTCTCCCAGCCACATATAAAGCCTCTGAGGTTTCAATCCATTGCACATCCCAGTTGACGTGTTACTAATGAACATTCCTGTAGGTTGTGTTGCATAAGTAATGAAGAGCTGAAATAACAACTCCCTTTCCCAGCAAAGCTGAATCACAGCCATAATTCCCCAAGTACAATGGATAATAACTTACCAATGTCCTGAGGCTCTCAGTACAGCTTCACTCCTAGAGCAAAACTCAGATATCCATTCCCAAACTTGCAAATTTTTCGTATTTTCCAATTGCTTTTCACCCTGATTATTGCACATGAGCAGTGGGAATGGTAGGTGTGATTTTATTGGCCTATACCATGTTTGGATTACAATTTACCGGTGACCTAGCGTCTGCTTACACAAAATATGGGCTACACTCCCAGACAGAGTTGATTAACAAGCGCATCAGGCATGTGCACAAATAGATTTTCATATCAAACCAAATGAGGTAAGGCCAGCTGGAGGGGGAAACTGCTCCTATGGATGTAGCAGGATCAGTTGTAATTTTGTTTCTTTCTGGGTTATGGGCGCTGCTGGGAAGGTTGTATGTATCTTGGTTGGAATGAGAAGCTGCTGGTCAGCTCCATTTGTGGTTATGCCATTCCCATTACAATAATTCTATGTTGGTACCTTAATGATTTACATCATTGTACTTCACGTTTAAGAAACAAAAAGGTCAGCCAAATGAAATGATGTGGTGTCATTAACACACGTCAAGCTTTTACCTACGAGAGGGGCAACAGAAGGTACAGGAGCAGGAAAGGCCACTTCTCTCCAGCCGATACCCTCAATGGATCACAAGGAGTAGGATTGGACTATCTGACCCTCCAAGCCTCCTGTGCTATTTAATAAGACCCTGGTTGGTCTGGTACAGCCTTACTTCACTTTCCTGCCTCATCCAACCACCCTCCAAACCCTGAAGTCATCTAACTCAGCCAAAACATATGCAAAGATCCATCCTTTAGGATACAGAATTCCAAAGGCTAACGAGAGTCGGAGACAAATTAATTCCACATCTCAGTGTTTGAACCAGAGACCCACACTTTGAAACTGTGCCTCCTGGTTCTAGGCTACCCCATGAGATGAAAGACGTTTGCGACCTCTATCCTGTCAAGCCCCCTCAGAGCTTTGGAATGCTTCAATAAGACCACCTCTCTCTTTTCTAAACCCCGGGGAATACAGGCCCAACCTGCTCGATGTTTCCTTGTAACACAAACGCCTTCATCCCAGAACCAACTCTGCCAACTGGTCACATGCATGGAATATTCTGGAGCCCTTAAAGTCCTGTTCAGGTCTTAGAGAGACAGCAGCAATACTTGACGCGATGCGTCTACGGATATGGGAACGTTGATTGACAGTTTCTTTGTTGAATATTCCCAATTGGAAAGTGATTGAAGGACGGGTGAAAAATAAGATCAGGTCCCTTGCGACAGTTATAGTTGACTGACAGTCATGGTTATACAGGTGGGCGTGTTCAGTACCAAATGGTATCGTCCACGTGGCATTCACACAGACGGCACGCACCTACTGTGGAAGTGAAAGCAATTTAAAAACTTTAAAAAAATTTAAAAAGAAGGAAGGATTGGGATGGGGTGAAAATTCCAAATGGCTGACTTTTTTTAAGGTAGAATCAGAATTTATTTGATAAAATGTTTAAGTAGCGTCGCTGTAGATTTCCCGATGCCTCACGACACTGAACAACGTGCATTGATTGAACCAGAAGCATCTTCCACTTGGTAGGTCTTACCTTTTCCAATCAGAAGGCTTATCTGTGAATTAATGAGCTTTTCCTCACGGTCTCCTTCTCTTGCTACAAGTTTCAGGATTGGGAGGAATGGCCGTACGTCACAGAGGCGCCTGTGTTCATCTTCAAGTTCCTCCTGTTCCGCTGTGTGGTTGATGCAGGTGAAGACGTAGGCATCTGGCTTATTTAAAGTATGGAAGAGGGGTTGATGTTGAGCCTGCTGCCAAAGTAGCTACAAAAGGAAGAAGCAACACTCATTACTTTAACAAATACCGTTTAAGGTGAAGCATGATTCTGATCAGAGATAACACGATCCTGGAAAAGTCCCTCCAGGATAAGAGTTCTAAAATTCACCTATTTGCAGTGGAAGTATCAACTATCTATTCTCACCCAATTAATCTGTGATCAAAATGTCATTTTGTCCTGCAGCGCTTCAAGAAGGCAGCTCACCTTCTCCAAGGCACCTAGCGCCATACAGTAAATGCTCGCCCCGCCAGCGATGCCCACATCCCACTGGTGAATAAATTTACTGCTGTCAATCAATGAGACCTTTAAGAAGATGGGCATGAAGTTTCTACAGTAACTGCCTTCTCATGTTTGTTTACTTAATCTCCACCTACTTGTCCAGTGTACGTTTGTAGATCAACTTATTAACAAGGTACAAATCAGATAGTCAAAGGGTCAATCAGCAGTGTATGTAGATTTAAGGTAATTGGCAAAATAACCAGAGGTCAAAGAGAAGATCTTTTTTCATATAAACACAGTGAGCCGTTAGGACCTAAAATGCAACAGCTTCAGTTGTTACCTTCAAAAGGGAATTGGAAATGTAGTTGAAAGACAAACAACACAGGGTTGTGGAGAAACAGCTTTGAAGAATAATGGGGCAACGCTTTCAAAGAGCTGGCACAGGCTAGATGGGCCAAATGAGCTACTTCTGTCCTGAGGGATTCTATGGTTTTCCTGTTGCTTTCTAACCCAGTGCAACTGGAGTGCTAGAGAATAGGTTGTCTGCTCGGAACATTACCCACAGGGTCCCACTGGATTACATTTCATTCCCATCATTGCTGTCCCTGTTTCTCTTCCAATTGTGAGTGGTATTAAGTGGTAAAATCAATGGCCCACAGAGGTCACATTATCTCCAACTTCACCCTATTACGCAGACAGTAATCCCACAAAATCTGTTGCAGGACACCGTGTGCTTTCGTCTTGTTTGTGTGACTTTATGTTTTTTAAGGTAGAATCAGAATTTATTTGATAAAATGTTTAAGTAGCGTCGCTGTAGATTTCCCGATGCCTCACGACACTGATCCATTGAGGGTATCGGCTGGAGAGAAGTGGCCTTTCCTGCTCCTGTACCTTCTGTTGCCCCTCTCGTAGGTAAAAGCTTGACGTGTGTTAATGACACCACATCATTTCATTTGGCTGACCTTTTTGTTTCTTAAACGTGAAGTACAATGATGTAAATCATTAAGGTACCAACATAGAATTATTGTAATGGGAATGGCATAACCACAAATGGAGCTGACCAGCAGCTTCTCATTCCAACCAAGATACATACAACCTTCCCAGCAGCGCCCATAACCCAGAAAGAAACAAAATTACAACTGATCCTGCTACATCCATAGGAGCAGTTTCCCCCTCCAGCTGGCCTTACCTCATTTGGTTTGATATGAAAATCTATTTGTGCACATGCCTGATGCGCTTGTTAATAAAGTGTGCAGCATACTACAACAGTGCATAATTTTCAATGAAGTTTGGGGAAAGTAAAATTTAAAAAGACCTGTCCTTTTCTTGAAGGAAAACTATAACGGTTTGCTGCCAATGTATGAACTCAGTACGGGCTAATGTTCTCTGGCAATAATGGATTTATCTGGATTTACAAATCTCAAGCCAGTTATAATCGGTTGGGTTGAGGGCTTAGATGAAAACTCAGGAGAATAGAGGTTTATTCCCAAAATCTTGGAGTCTGTTTCTAAGCCTTTTTTGGGACCATTAACATAAGTAAATTGAAACATTCCCTTTCTGAAAGAACAACACAATATTCGGTTGCATTTACAGAAGCAGTGTGTGCAATCCTTCCTCAAAACTGTTGGACAGGAACTTCTGTACCAGTCATTTACTGTCAATAATGGGGCAACATCTGCAACTTCTGTGAAATATTATGATGACCTGCAAAAAAAGTTACAAAGCATAAAAGTCCTGTGAAATAGCAGCCAATCCAACTTCCCATAGCAGAATGTTACAGCAAAGAGGGAAGCCATTCAGCCCACAGTGCCTGTACTTGCTCTTTGAACAAGATGGTCCAGTTTGTCCCCGTCTGCCTCGCTTGTGCCCTGTATCCCTACAATGCAGGGGCAAACACTGCCTCAGAAAATCAAGGCCTAAAATGACTTTGATAAAAGGGATTCCTGGCACAGATATCCCATCGCCTCACTCTTTCTCTGTCACCCGACCAATGTCGCCTATCCAAGGATTTATCAGATTCCTTATGGAAAGTCACGATTGAAGCTGCTTCCAATATCCACTATAAGGGCTCGCTTGAGGTAAAAGAAATCCTCACTCTGTGGAAGTGATCAGACCTGTCTCCAGTCAGCTCAGTTGTATTAGAAGCAGAATGAGAGTGCTCCTGTGCTGTAGTGGTAGTGTCTGTATCTCTGAGCTCGGAGGCACGTGTTCCACATGTGATAGCATCTCCGAACAGGCTGAATAGAACAGATCCAGCAGACGACTACATGCTGCATAGCTTGAAATCATCTACTGGGGCATATTAACTCTACTGAGAGCATATTCAAAGAGGGCCTTTAATATTATGAGCAGGGCTCCATTCATTGCTCATAGTGAATTAGAAAAAACACTATCGACAAGAACTGCAGCATTCTAGCCTGCACCATACAATCTGAGGTCAAGGTGTTTATTCATATTTTAAAGCCACAATTTCAGGTTAACAGCACATCAGAGGTCAAGGTGTCTATTCATATTTTAAGGCCACAATTTTGGGTTAACAGCACATCAGAGGTCAATTGCTGGTTAGGCAAATCTTGAGGTTTAAGAGAGATTATTGATAGAGACCTACATGCATACATTCTGTTTAAACTTACAGACGGTCTGTATAGATCACCGGATCAGCTGGGTTAATGTGAATCACTGAGTTTGGACTGGTCCATGCAGAGTATTGTGAAGCAGGAAACTTGGGGAGAAAGACCGAAGGGAAGACAGGATTCTTAATGAGCATAGAGGAACAGAAAGAACTAGCAATGCAGATATATCAATAGATAAAGGAGGCAATGTGGTTTCAAAACAATAATGCTAGGGTTTTGTGAAGACTTCACCTGGTGAAGGAGCAGCACTCCGAAAGCTTGTGGTGTCAAATAAACCTGTTGGACTATAACCTGGTGTCGTGTGACTCCTGTCTTTGTCCACTCCAGTCCAACACCGGCACCTCCACATCAATGATAAGATGCTTTAACAGCGCATTTGAAAGTCCCTAAGACAGGTTTGTGTGGTCAAGAAAGCTACTGAGACTTCCTGAAACACAAATACTTAACTTCTGGATGTCTTAAGGCACCACGTCCCCATGACAAGCGAAGTTTTACTAATTTACCTTTTTGATGTATTTGATTGTAGAACTACGAGGCACAAAGAAGTTTAAGTAAATCCCCGTCGGCAACAGAAATTCAACCTCCACATCTGGGCTCTCATCTTCAGTCCAAAAATCCTGATTGTAATGTATTCCGGGAGGCATTTTGGTCAATTATCAGCTACAATTCTCCCTGCAATACAAAAGGAGAAAATGGATTATGAAATAGTGAGCCCTCAGTGTCAGTTTAACAAACAATTCAAATTGATTCAAGCTGCACCAGCTGATCACGTCGGTGGATTTCAGATCCTGGATTTGACATATTATTTGAATTCGGAAACGTGAAGAGAGAGAAAGGAGCAGAAGGAGAATTATTGCTTCGTGTCTCAGGAACATTTCAGAAATAACAGGTTCACAATCTTGGGTGGGTTGTCACACAGATGAGCAAATCCTACGTGTCACTTCCCCGATGAGCAGGAGGAACTGGGTGACGAGTGAATTTCATAGAGAAGCAGCTTGCATCTTTGTAATCGACATTTAGTGAAAGGTTGACACAGACTTGGAAATATATCACTGTTCCTTCACTGTTGCTGGGTCAAATTCCTGGAAATCCCTCCCCGAGGGCATTGAGGATCAACCCACAGCACATGGACTGCAGCGGTTCAAGAAGGCAGCTCACCACCACCTTCTCCAGAGTAACTAGGAACGGGTAATAAATGCTGGGCTCAACCAATGAAGCCTACATCCCACAAATGAATAAAAAAAGAGAAAAATGGATAAACAGCACAGATGTTGCAGTATTGGTGATACCATATCTTGAGTATTGTGTTCCATAATAGTCTTCCTATTTCAGGAAGGATGTAAATGCATTGGAAGCAGTTCAGAGAAGGTTTATTTGACTAAAACCTGGGATGGGCAAGTTGCTTGCCTTATGAGAATTGGTTGGACAGGCTAGGCTTGAACCCACTGGAGTTCAGAAAGGCAAGAGAAGACTAGATTGAAACGTATTTAATCCTCAGTGGTCTTGACCAAGTGGATGTGGAGAGGATGCTTCCTCATGTGAGGGGAATCTAGAACTAGTGTCACAGTTTCAAGAGAAGAGGTTGTCCATTTAAGATAAATAATAAGGAGGTTTTTTTTTTCCCTCACAGAAGGTTACGAGTCTTTGGAACTCTCTTCCTCAAAATTCCTTTAATATTTTGCCTGTGTGGAGTTTGCACATTCTCTCCGTGTCTGTGCTCCGGATTCCTCCCACAGTCCAAAGATGTGCAGGTTAGGGTAGATTGGCCGTGGGAAATTGCCCATAGTGTCCAGGGAATGTGTAGGCTAGGTGGGTTAGCCATGGGAAATGCAGGGTTACAGGGATGGGGTGGGTCTGGGTGGGATGCTCTTTGGAGGGTTGGCGTGGACCCGATGGGCCGAAAGGTGTGCTTCCACACTGTAGGGACTTTATGATTCAGAGGTAGATAGGGTCTTCTTTACCAAAGTGGGTGAAAGGTTCTGGGGGAAATGTGAAGAGATCAGGTCAGTGGTGATCTTACTGAATGACGGAACAGGTCCCTTTTAAAAACATACATTTTGACCAAGAGTAAAGGGCTGCCAATTTAAGACTGAGGTGAGGAGAAATTTCTTCTCTCAGAGTTGAAAGTCGTTGGAACTCCTTATCTCAGAGAACTATGGGGGCAGAGACCTTGTTTATATTTAAGGCTGAGATAGGTTCCAGATTGGTCAGGGAAATCAATGGTTATGGGAAAAATGCAGAAAAATGGATGTGAAGAGTGTTGGATCAGTCATGATCCCATTGGATGGTGGAGCAGGCTCGAGGGGCCGAGTGGCCTACATCTGTTCCTATTTCTTATGGTCTTATGGACTTAATCTCCTTCAAATCTAAAATTGGGGTTTAAGCCTGGATTTTCTCTTCTGTCAAGTCAAAATAAGCATATTTTTTAATTAAATGCAAGATGCTAAACAGTTTCAGTTTTTGGATTGTTTGACACAATTGTTAGGGAGTAGTTGCGAGTTCAGACATTCGGGAATGAGAAATGAAGCATTTTCATTGGCAGGTTTCCCCTTAAAATGTCATGGTTGCACCCCGCTCCATCCCCAACCCCTCACCATGGTCCACGGACAGAAACGAGAAATCAGAGGGTCACCAGGACAGAAGAGAAAGACAGACATCGAGATGGAGCAACACATGGCAAAGCGACACACTTCCTTAGTGCGTTTGTGACGTAACTACTTTACTCATTCATTGCTGATACACAGAATCCAACATTTGAATGTAGGAAATCTGAGCAGGAATAGGCTTTTTGGCACCATTCAACAACATCCTGGCTAATCTGCTGGGTTTCAAATTCCACCATCCTGCCCATTCCTGATCATCTTTGATTCCTTGCCTAGCAAGAACCTACCTACCTCTGTCTTAAAAGTATTCAATGGCCTCACCTTCTCAGACAGAGCACTGTAAAGTTTGAGAGAAATAATTTGTCCTCATCTCGGGCCTAAAAGGGTGACCCTTGATTTTAAAACCCTGTCCCCCCTGGTTCTGGTCAAGAGGAGTCAATGGGTGGACTCTGAGAGGGGCCTGAATAATATGGGTTATCATGGCAAACATGGCAGAATTACAGGAGGTGTCCAGAGAGGCCTATTGTAATGTCAGCAGCATCTTCGAAACTAAGCTCCAGGCGTCACAGTGAGATTCTTCTTGGGCAGTGGAGACTAAGGAGTATTACTATTTGCTAATTAATTGCAGATCTTGCCTCATTGATATGCACCTTTCTTTCATACTATCCACTCTCTGCAAACAACTTGACACTGACAATTCTGAACACGCAAGTCAGAGCAGATACCTGCTGACCTCAGCTCACTGCTTGCTCCAAAGGACTTCCATAAGGGAGCAATATCGCAGGGCAAGCTCCCTGGGTCCTTTAAACCACATGCGCAGACTTTTTTTTTCATTCGTTGATGGGATGTGAGCGTCACTGGCTAGGACAGCATTTATTGCCCACCTCCAGTTGCTCAGAGGGCAGTTAAGAGTCAACCACATTCCTGTGGGTCTGGAGTCACATGTAGGCCAGACCAGGCGAGAATGACAGATTTCCTTCCCTAAAGGACACTAGTGAACCAGAGGGGCTTTTCCAACAATCAACAATGGTCTTATGGTCATCATTAGACTCTTAATTCCAGATTTTTATGAATTCAATTTCCACCATCTGCTGTGGTGAGATTTGAACCGGGGTCCCTGGGACACTCCCTGGGTCTCTGGATTAATAGATAATACCACTAGGCCATTTCCTCCCCCATTGGCAACTCAGCATTGGCGTCCGATGTTTGCCAGTCTCTAAAAACCCTCAAGGTACGTCTCCCATCCACTCACAGGATGCATCTACACTTCAATGTTTCACGTCGGGACTGACCTTCTTCCAACAGCGCCGGGTACTCGCAGTGACAGACAGAGTGAGGGTAAGTATTGGTGGAGGGGAGAAGGCATTGACCTTTTTCCTACAGCGCCAGGCTCTCCTCCAGACGCCGCGACAGCTTTGACCCGGGTGACAACCTGAGACCAGGCCGGGCAGGGTGTGGTGTCATGGCCTTCTCTCCTGGCCCTTGGGGGAAGAGGAAGTCCTGTCCAGCAGGGCCTCCAGTTCCCTGCCCACAAAGCGGAGGTGATCACCTCCCCCTGTCTGCCATGACCGGGGCAAACGTCAGGCACTGTGCTCAGGACTGACTGCGATTGTCTAGGTGCACAATGGGATTTTAAAGATGGCGCCAGTGTCTGGTCCATTCTGGGATATCCCAGCAGGAGCGAGTAGCTCTGGGTAGGCTGAATGGTGGAATGGACCAAGAACTGGAGCCATAAAGAGCTGAGACTGGCAAGAAAACTTACAAGGGCCCCATGGCCAAAAAAACCTCCAAAATCTCAACGCTGAGCGTAAAATCCAACCCACCCTTTTCATCGGCCTTAACTGAATCCTAGATACAGACTGGGCAGCAAGAGGCTATTCGCCCCATCTCACCGGTGTCATCTCTCGGAAACAGCAACCCAATTAGTCCATTTCCCCTGCTCTTTACCCATTGCTTGGCATTATCCTCCCCATTTTGAGCAGATGTATTTAAAATAAGTTTGCACTCTATCTGTGTCCCTCAATGTTGGAGGCAGTGCATCCCAGATCCCAACCTGCTCCTTGAATTCCAAACCTCCTCACGTAGCCAAATGCCTTAAGTCTCAGTAGACTGTGGGCCAGTTCCTCCTTACTGATGATGTACCACTCTGATCTAACAAAAGCCATCATCAAACCGCAATAAATAGCATTGCAGTGTTCACACTCGATGGAGAGCTGATGTTTACACAGCAGCAGTTGAGAAGCAACAACCACAACTAAGCTACTTGCAGAAATAGAAGCAGTTGTAGCAGGAGTGTAGCAGGCCAGCAGTAACACCGCTTTGCACGTACACACATGGGGAGGTCTCCTGCAGCTTTGTCACCAAATTGTCACAGAGCTGGGCCCGTGCTGCTCGCAAGCACTTGTTCACACCTAGGGGAGGGGGCTTCTGGAACTTTCTCCCCTACTCCACCCCTCCCCAAAAAGCTGCGCCTGTAGAAAACGTAAAAACCTGAGATACTTCATTGCAAAGGATATTAAAGGGAGATGGAGGGGTGGGGTGGTAAATGGAATTAGGAAGATACAGATCAGCAACTAACTAACAAACGAATGGTAGAAAAGGGTGGAGGGGCCAAACTGCCTTCTCCCATTCCGATGGTGCTTTTTCTTTGAAAAGGCAGGGGAGATAGAAGGGACATAGGGAGCTATAGTATGAAAGGACAGAATCATTGAACCTTACAGAATAGAGGAGGCCATGCAGCTCATCATGGTTTTGCTGGCTCCTTAATGGATCTGTCCATTGTAGTACCACATCCTAGATTTCTCCCCCAGACGTCTGCCAATTTGTCCTCTTCAAGCACCTGCTTTTTAAAAGCTGCTAGAGAAGTTGATTGCACCAGCCTGTTAGATAGCGCCTTCCGGGTCATAATCCTGTGCGCCAACTTTTACATCTACCCCTTTCTCTCATTGTTTCACATTTGGCAATGAAACCACTCGATCTATCGAAACAGCTCAGACGTTTAGGTCCATGCTGCTGGGATTGGGAGTGGATCTGGTATTGACCAGAAACTGAGGGGAGGTGTGCAAGGTT